GATCTAACGAATGTCTGCACTTTTTTTTCTGAACAGATGCATCTGGGAATCGTGTTTGAGTGTTTGATACCTCTGTGATAAATGGAGGTATTGTTTTTGGTATATATCCGTGTGTGTGTCTGTGTTTCCGCATTATCCTTGGGTTAGGTTGTAATAGACACAGTTGGGTTCAGTATGTCCCAGAGGGAGAAAGCCATCAATCGCGTCTACATCTGGCGGTGCTTGCTGTTTTCACAGGTGTTTTTCGTTACATGACCTCCTTGACAGCTAGAGTTGTTTCCGTTGCACGATAAAGGAAGACCATGGTGAATGGCAAGAGGACACAGTCACTATCACACAAGATCTAAATATTTCCTGGAGGTCTGATATCTTCGAATTCTTGTTTTTACAATATGTTGCTCTCTTTATCACGATGCCTCTTTACTCAGCTTCGCCGGAGAAATACCAAGTAGAAGAGATTGAAAAATAATATTAGCATAAGATGTAAAATGTATAAGAAGGCAGATATCGAACGCAGTTGGCGGCCAGTCAAGTTTTATTCTAAAGTCAACTGAAGGATACCGCATCGTCAGCCAGCTGTGGTGAGAAAAATCGAATATGACAGATTCATCAGCTCAGGGATCTCTTCTCACATAGAATATGTTGAAGAAGGACGCATATCTCAAGTGTAGATACGGCTGCCAGGTCAGAAAAGCACGCTGAATATTCGGCCTTATGCACATCATGTCTACAAGGCCAAGGTTGCCTTCCGAACGGAAGCTTTCTTGGAAAAACGAGCGAGCGTTCTCCATCTATATTCACCCACAAGAAGACTTCACGTTGGCCATGGGGATCATTTCAACGTTATTTCTGTCCGAGATAAAACTGCCTGGCGTCAGACGTCTGTAGCCGTAACTGGCTCTCATGTCGGGGCATTTCTAAAGGAGACCGAAAGTTAGGACTCGGAGTGGGCCGTTCCATCTTGTCAGTGGCGTTCCTTTGGGCTTGGCAAAACCTCCCACAAATTCAGCGGAGTCAGCAAATGGCTCTTGGACCAGAAAAATGTTTCAACGAGCGCAACCGAGTTTGATCAGCGATTTTTTTGCAACCTTTCATTGTTTGAGCTGCAAAGATAAAACAATAACACCAGGAAGAAAGATGGCTTGTCGTGTATCTCTGCGCCAGTAATACGACAGAACAGATTGAATAGTTAAAAGACGTAGGCGGGATTCTCAGAACCAGAAACCCCGCTGGATAGTACACTTGGCTTGATTGGAATCTGCCGCAAGTTATGTATTTATCAGAACTTTTCGTCGATGTGTGTGAATGCCTTCTGCGTGTATGGAAGATCCCGGTGGGATACACTGTGTCAAGAACGATGTATATTTTCTACTGGAAGCGCTCATTTTCATAAGTCTGAAGTGCCCTGAAAGGTTCTTTACGGCGTCTGGTTGATGCGTGCGCCGACAGTTCCTCCGCTAGGGACTCGGAGGTGTAGCTGAATATTGCGTGATTAGTAAATGTGAAGCATCAATTCTCGTCTCCAGACAGTCCGTTAGGCCACAGCAAGTAAATTGTATGGATGACATCCCCCGCAGACTCCAAATCTAATGCGAGCAGCGAAAAAAACAAGGCGGGCCGAAAAAAAACAAGGTTCCTACAATTTACAATTTTGACTCAGTCATTGTACAAATGGTTTTTATTCAGTGGGAACATCACATATCACTGCATCAAAGTAAGAAACAAAAAATTAAATCAGAGCATTTCTTGTCTCCTCTCTTCATAACTATGCCTTCCGGCATGGCAACAGACATCTTTGCCCATTTTCGGCATGGTGACCACTCTCAGAAGGCAACAAATTTTTTTTTTCCAAAATCAGGCGAAAATTAATGCGCGCGCTGATGTCATCCATAAAAATGACTTGCTGTGGCCTTATGTGCATAGCGAGACGGACGTATTCTGTACGCCTTATCTGGGAGACAGGCCGCCCGGCATCACACAACTTTCATCTCGCTGTTCAGTGATTCACTGTTTATTACTGACAGAATTGTGTGGTGTATTTTATAGGCCGATGCGTGTTTGAAAAAGGTATAGTTTCATCAGCATACATATATAGTTTTTATTTTAGTGAGTGCTTTCTTGACCGAGGTTGAATTTTAAGTGAGGATTTAAAAGCATCCAATACGATTTCAGGCAAGCAAAACTGGAAATATTCTGAATATTCTTAAAAAGTCTCCAGAAATAAGCCCCCAAGATGAGTTTTCTGGGTGGTACCCTAAAAATCAGCCCAGGGCCCTTCCAGTAACCATTTTCCGTCAGAATTTTGAGACTTTTTGCTCCACGAGGGTCAATATACACTGGGATAGTGTGGGTTCAACTCACTATGTAGATAAATGACTATATTGACTTTGAAAAATCTGGTTTCCTAGCCCTAAAAACTGCACTGGATGCCCGGTGACGTTCGATCTTACGACCGTGGCACAATCGGCTGTCTTCTCAAAGAAAACGCTGTATTTTTCGCTTTTCTGGCAAACTAGAATAGACGCATCTCTACAGTTGAAGCGACATCAAGTGCGGAAAAAAAGGTTCAATGACCGATTTTCAATCCAAAAGCAGAGGGTTCCACGCGGTTTAACACAGTGGGTGTATTCATGAACTGCCATCTCAGATCTCGACAGTGCACAATCTAAAGAAAAGAGACGGATTTCCTAATTAAAACGCCAGTAGAAGTCGTGGTATATCAGATGGTGATGTTTTCCTTGCTACCATCGCATGGCACCTTAAAGCTGCATTATGTAACATGAGGACGATACAAACGGTAAATGTTCTGGTCACTTTTTATAAAATCAGTTGAATCAACTCTACTTCATTGCAAGTAAGTGCCATTCAGGAAGTGGAGGTGCCAAAATATGACGAATTCACGAGTTTGTTTGAAGCTGGAAACACTGCTGTCAGCCATGCTTGTTTACATTCTGGTAGTTTGTGGTGGCACCAAAAACTTACCGGTAGTGCGCCTAGTGTAGGCTGTTTTAGCGCCAACCATAAATGTCAGAAATGTGAGATAATGGCACAAATTTGTTTCAAAAGGGAAGTAAATAATAATCACACGATTATTTTTTTCATGAAATATTTCAACTTTTGGTGCAAAAATGTTACACAATGCCCCTTTAACGCCAACAACTCCGGAGTTCCCGTGTTTGGGCCTAGGGTTTTATACAGTAATAATACACGAGCGAGCCTGCCGGTACAATCAATAATGTTGTTTTATCCACATTTGGCATAGTTATACTGCCATGAAAATCAACGGATGTCCTGTTGAAACGTGTAAACAACACTGTGACAGGACGCAACCTGTTGGTTCCTACACAAACAGAGACGCAGCAATGACTTACAAGCCAAAAACAAAACATAAAGCGTAGTTCATCATATTCTTCGAATTCTCTCAAGCCCTTTTGTGACTGATCTTGTCAGCAACAACAGCAAGAATACTAGAAAGGTAACATTTGCAAAGCAAATGCATAATGTTTACCCTCGCATATGGTGTGCTCTGTTAATTCTTACTTAGACACATTCATATATATGCTGACAGGAGTATGAATCCCTCCTGCTATAAAATTGCAACATGGTGTAACCCAACACCAGTTAGCACGGTGACAGACGTGGTTCAGGTCATTGACCTTATTGGTTTGGAGAAGAAGAAGAAGAGGAAACAGAGTAAAAACAATATGTATGTAAAGAGCACGCTGTCTGTAGATTACTTTAAGTGGTGCATTTGTGTTCCGAACTGTTGATGCACACAGATAGAAATCTGTCATACGCACGTGTATGCAGGTATGTCGTATCCTTAACAATGTCAGTATCGATTTCAAAATAATTGCTTTGGTTGAAGAGTACTAGTCAACATAAAGTGACCCATGGAGATTACTCAGGTTACAGATCCCGTCTTTTACAGAATAAATATGAAGAATGAACTTCCTCTTCCACTATTTTCTCGCATTTGTCCTGTAGCTCCAAGAGCTGCTAAATTCTTCTATTGTTCTATCATTCCGTTTGGCATTTTCAATGTCCAGGTACATTAAGTTCGTTTAGACAGAAATACGAGCATATGAAATCACCCAACATTGATTGTAAAATCAGTTTATGGCATCAATCAGAAGTTTTCAAAGTAGATTTCTGATGAACACATCGTCAAACTGAAACCAACAAATTTACAAGTTCATGAAACCATCACTACGTTCGAGTCTTACGTTTTAGGTCCAACTAAGTGTAAACATTAAGCAGGTAACAGACCTTTTCATTGTCATTTGGCATTGCAGGTCACATTCATGCTTAGAAGTGAGGCCGTTCACTTATTTTAGCTACATAGCACCAAAGTCCACAGACAGGCGTACAAACATTATGATACTCTACAGGGAACCATGTTTATCTATTGCACACGCACTACTCAGTCTACGCTCACATTTAAGAATAGATCTTAGATAGTTACATATAAAACCGTTGTCAATCAAATTACTAGATTCGTATTAGAAAATTTCCAATACCAGGCACGGTGGAGAAAAATGAAAATACAAAACAAGCATGCGATCACGGTTTCTATACCTCACATATCACCACGGAGAGCCCAACTTTCCGGAGAAGTCCGTATGTTGTGGCGATGCTCATGTTACCTTTAATTTAGGCCATGTTGATTTGATTATATGGATGACATCCACGCGCGCATGAATTTAGGGCGGTTTCCAAAAATAAGACGTTTTTAACCATACTGTAAATCGTACAACACAGTTGCAAAACCGTAAGTTGAAAAAAATCTTTGAAAACGATACCAATGTCATAGCATGGGCCAAATGAAACGAAAAAGACGAAAATGTACAGAAGTGAATTTGAAGAGTAAATAATTCTCCATACCATACTCTGTTTCATTTGTTCAACCTTCATGGCCACGTAGATTTCATAATGAAAGCAACTTCTTTTTTGTAAAACTTTTTTATTGTCACGCTCGCATCAGTTTTGGGGTTCCCGGGGGATGTCATCCATATAATCAAATCAACATGGCCTTATGAAACTGTAATTAGGAAGTCAAAAGAGTTCTTCTCGTTGCACCACAAAGGTTAACGTTCTTTCGCTAACTTCTAACTCTAGTCTTCTAATCTTCAGTAGCTGACCAAAAACTGAGAGGTTTGAACCCTGTAAAAGTGGCTACGGCCACAATTTCGTTGTGTAGAGATAAAACCTCTGCAGCTACAAACTATCAATAAAATCCCATGTCCACCCCTTATAACCTCCAACTCCATAGAACGTAATATCATGCATCAAAAGACCACAAGGCAATGCCAGCGCCAAGCACAATACTTTCAGGTGTTTCTCAGTCTTTGAAAACAGCGTAAACATTTGAGTAATCAAAGGGAATATCGGCACCATCGCTGTTGCAGCATGCAGTACTTCCGACATTGGAGCAACATTCAAAGGGATGGAGCCTGCCAATGTTTTAATAATGTAAAGTGTACTGTACATTGGAAATAACTTAAAAACACATGCTGTGTCCAGACATGGTGATGACCACGTTTCAGAAGCGTCTACGGCGAATGAAGCTTTTTCTTCAGTCATGCGGCGCTGTGGTATCTACTTGTACCTTTGGTCGGACGACTTTGACCACACACCCGATCGGCATACCCCTGGAGGATGGTGCCAACCCACGTGCGTATGAGATCATGTGGTGATGTGTCTTGGTCCCATGGTTGGTTACCCTTAGTTCTTGTATTCCTTTTCTTTATATAAGGACTGGCTATCTTAAACTGGCGTGGTTTTTCGTAGAAAGTCAATCGGAACATCCATGTACTCGGGAAAGGGATATACGGGAGTTGAATGCTGCCTGGGCAGGGAAGCCCGTCGGTTTGCCCGCGTGCATCGCGGTTCAGGCGGGGGCGGTTCCAGGTAGTCCTCGGTGACCGAGCCGCGCCCGTGGAATGTGTGCCTGGACGTACAGGACAGGGCAGGCGACGCTTCCAGGTCCATTCCAGGAGGAGAAGGTGGTTCAAAATCGAACGCTGGTGACGAAGGATCAACATATTCAAAACCGGGAGACCTCTGTTCCAGATATTCCTCTATGGACAAGTGTCTAGTTTGACCAAAAGATGCCCGTCTTGCACTAGTATCGACCTCAGGAGATGCTTGCCGCCTGTAGTCCAGCAGGTCCCGTGCGCAGACGTAAACGTCGCTCGCGCGGGAGGTTGTGGGATAGTCTGCCAGCATGGGCTGACTGGACGCGTACGTCTGTCTCGTGGGATCTCGCGAGAAATTTCGCAGCGGTAACTCGTACGTGGATATATCCCCGGATGCAGCAGCCGAGTCGTCAATGTCAACCGTGTACGGAGGCCACTCTTTGGCATTCTCTGTCCTATGCCTGAGACTGTCGATTTTCTCTGCGAAGAGGCTTTTTTCCTTAGCAGGCGACTCTTCGCAGAAATGACGCCAAGCATCCCTCTCTCGTTTAGAATACCAGTACACAGCTGATACCCCCGAAAGCTCCATCCCGGCAAAGGAAGCTGCAGCACAGTAAAAGGACCAGCCGAAATGGTACTTGGAGTTGCTGGTATCTCCGTGAGGCTTGTGCAGCATGGAAACAAAGATGATCAGACCGACCAGATTGCAGAGACCTGTGGAAGACAAAGAAAAGGATGTAGTTATAAACAAAAGAGGATGATACACAGTATCTTCGACTGTCTTCATCTCATTTACATATCAATTTTTACCTCCATGAAAAATGGAGGTATTATTTTTGGCGTTTGTGTCTGTGTGCGTTTCCGCAACTTCGTGGTCAGCAGAACTTCAGAACGACTTTATGGATTGAGATGATATTTGGTATGTTGGTAAGTCTTGAAAATACAAAGGTCAAGGTCAAATATGGGCCTGTTGGCTGACCTTGGTACTGCAGTAGAACTGCCGGATTTTGTATCTTTTGTCCTGAACATGCTAACGTGGATTGAAACGTCTGGATTGAAAGTTTTCAAAATTTATCCAGTTGCTTGAGTGACAATTCCCATTACCTGGATGTCTAACCTTCATCGTCAGTGGGTGACGCATGTTCAAAGGAAGCATGTTGATGCTGTTGTCATTATGCTTCAATTCACCTACATACACTGATAGGGATAAGACTGACACGTCGCATAGAACGCATTGAACGAACGGATCTTGAATGTACAGGCACAGAATTATTGCAATTTTGCACAACGCACGTTTTGTAATAGACGTCAAGATACATGTACCCAGTGGCATTTGGGCAACACACGCAAGTTAAAACATTAGAATAATGGTCTTTCAGTAGATTAGCACATTTTTTTAACGGAGTAGTTCAATGCAAGGCCTATGCGACCACTTCTCGGCATTGAACTAGAGAGATGAGAGAAACATGGCTATGTCAAGAGATGGCGGTGAACGTTTGATTTGAAAGCCTGTAGATTGTAGGTTGGTGGGAAACACTTGTCAGGGAGGGAATTCCAAAGCTTGGCCGTACGGGGAAAGAAACTGTCACTAAAAAGATTTCGAACAAGGAATTTGGCCGGTGCAAGTTGTGTGGGCTAGTGGAGAACCTATGGGAAATTTTGTACTAGGTGCAGAATAGTTGCCGGCGGATAAGCTACAATTGAACAAAACTGCTCGTTGAAAGGCAGATAATCTAATTAGACCTGTGTGTGTTTTACTTATTTAGATAGGATCCTTTTAGTCGCGGTGGTGGAGAGAGATCTGTTTGCGGTGCCCGGGACGTTATCTGGGATTTCCGCCTGCCGCGGCTCGACTTTGATCCTGCCGGTCATCAAACGCACATCACGGCCATGTTCTGCCTTCAGTACGGCCGGAGGAAATTAGGCCACAGCAAGTAGATTTTATGCATGACATCCCTCCGCAGACTCCAAATCTAATGCGAGCGGGCGAAAAAAATCAAGACGGGCCGAAAAAAAACAAGGTTCCTACATTTTAAAATTTTTACTCAATCATTGTACAAATGGTTTTGGTTCAGTGAAGATCACATAGACACAGCCAACATCACATATCAATGCATCAAAGTAAGAAACAAAACGTTAAATCAGAGCCTTTTCTTGTCTCTTCTCTTCATAGTTATCTGCCAACCACCTTCCGGCATGGCAACAGACATCTTTGCCCATTTTCGGCATGGTGACCACTGTCAGAAGGCAACAAAATTTCTTCTTTTTTTCCCCAAAACCATACGAAAGTTAATGCGCGCGCTGATGTCATCCATAAAAATTACTTGCTGTGGCCTTACTCCACAGTTTGCAATTGTTACTCGAGCTGGTATAGCGGGGGATGAGCAGCAACGATCCGAAAGGAATCTTAAAAGACCCTGGGGGGAGTCTGTTCATTGTAAGCCGGCGAAGTGGCCATTTATTCCGCCGAGAGGTAGTGATCTCTCTCACACACAGTCCGTTTTATTATACAGCATTGACCGAGCCAAAGGCTTCCTGTAGATCCAAGGACACTACTCATCTGAAACATTGATGTTGTGGTAAATGGGAACTAAAGGAAGGAAACTTTACAGCTTAAACTTATCAGTATTCACCTACAAGAGGCCGTCATAAGGGTAAAAACGTTAGAACAGGCGTAACAGTATATTGATATTGTCGGAAACCAACACCACATGTCGTGCAAGATATTACAATAGCAAAGCAATCGGGAGTCCTCATTTTACCTTCACGGTTTAAACATCTCAATCTATTAAATGTCTTTTGCTGCAATGCGCTGTCGAATTCGGGTACATTTGTACCATCAGCCAACTGAGGAAGACTATGTGGTAGATAGTATCGTGCATACCTAACTCATACCCCTGATCCTTAGACCAATATTTTTCAGCTTATTTATTGTGTGTTCTCAGCGAAAAGCCATCACTAGTACTGTCGGTTGGTAGACTGCTGTCCCATGAATATTTCCCATTGGAAAAAAAGCTTTTTTATCTGGAAAACAGTTACGCCGTATATCATAAAGTGAGGCTCAGTGGGTGTCCTTGGTCTACAAGAAATAAATTATTCTCACCGGGAATGGGCCTTATAATGTTTACACTCCGTCGGCCTTTTTGTTACCGCAACGAACACACCTAATTCTCAGCAGTGGTTTCAAGGGCAAATTTGCTACCGAACGAGTGCTGAGTGGTTCGGGGAGAACCAAGTTCCCAAAAGGGCTGAACATTCAGCATGAACTGGCATCAACGAACGTGATGAAGCGAGCATTTCATGGGGATTTGCACCAGTCTGGGAGTTAATAGGGTCTGTATGGGGGTAGACTCGATGCTCAACCTGGTTAAATCGCCGACTAGAATACTTCCACCCTCTTTACCACTGAAATCCCCCCAAGGCCTACTACACGAGCATAATGGACGTCTGGGCATGCCTTAAGTAATACAAATATCACTCCATAATAACATTAGTAATCTCTGTTCTTGTAAAAAAACATAAGCTCGCCCCTTCATCATTTGGACTGTATCTCTGTTGTGAGAATAAAGCACTCCAAATTATTAATGTGGTGAATTCTAATAACCTTTTGGCTATGTCTACTCCCATGGTAATAAAAAAAAATGGCAGAAGCACAATAACTAGCATGGCTCATAGCCTAACGGAATGCATTCTGTGTTTATTGATTTTGTTATTATTTCCTTTATTACTGTGTGTGTTACTGAGGCGCAGTTCCCTGACAGTAACAAATTTAAAGCTTCGCCCCGGGTCCGTGGCCCATGGTCGGGATGGTGACCCCACTACACACCGGACACTTTGATAATGACTTTCTAT